TAGTGTGAATGACCATCACATTATAACCCCCCATGGCTGAAAGGATGAGCATGTTTGGTGGGATGGGGATTCAAACTTTTGCCCCACAGATTGCAGTCAAGCACCACCATGCCAGGCCAGTAGCCCTGGGAGAATGTTTCATAGAGGAAATGTTGTCAGTCTTGAGCTTTATCACCCTGTCTCTCTCTCTCTCTAAGTACCAGGAGCCATACAATAAGTAATTTATGCAGTCAAACTCACAGAAGATGCTGAGTAATGACTTTAAAAGTTACCTCATGCAGCTCTTGATGCTAGATTTTTCACAAGACCAACAGTATGCAAGAATACACTCTAGATCTTGCAATAATCAGACTTTTCATGACATTCTTTATTGTAGTTGAAAACTTTCATTTTAGGTTTCTAGCTTTATCAAGAACTGTGTCAAATAGCTGTTAGCTTTTGTTCCTTTGTTTTGCTTGTAGTGTATCTCTCATTTCAGTTATGCCTGTTTTTACCTCTTGGTAATCACCAGACATGTATGCACTCCAGAAAGCTTCCCACATCATTGTTTCAGTAGCTCTGACAACAATAAGCATTCCCTGCTGCAAGAAAATACAGTGTGTAACATTTAGAACAGTCTAAAGAGTATTGACTCTATAAGTGCATCAGCTACTTCACTTCCAGTGATATACATTCCAGCACAGTGAAAATCAAACATACCACTCATTGGTGCAGATCATTGCAATCTTCAGGACTGCTAAGGATAATGTTAGCAACAATGTGGAATACATCTTCATTACAGAATATTGGAGTACTGACTGATCTAGCTGTGTGCATACATTTTGAAAACTATTCATTGCTGAATAAACTAAGCACTATTCTGTTACTGGCGAAGAAATATTTCTCTCATGATTGGAACATAGGTTTGAGAGATAAGGTCATGGAAACCAACCCAAGGAAGTACCTGACCCTTTTCTTCAGTAGGCATACCACATTTTGTCTGTGTAAGTTGTAATTCCTTTCAGTTGATAATTTGAGGGTTTCTTTTATTCATAATTATTTAGCAAATTTCAAGTTTATTGTGACTGATGCTATTCAGTTTAGCAGCTAATACATTTATTTTTTTATACTATTTCATGTGGACAGCCTCTTTTTGACTATGGGCATTAATTCATTCTGATTTAAACCAATTTCTTGAATTTTTGTTAATCCTTGCAACTAAAGGTAATATCATGAAAAATTAATTAATGCTTTATTATCCAAGAGAGCTCCAATGAAATTTATTACTGCATGTGTCACAATATCTGTGTCTAAACAATAATCGTGTGTCATATTTTTAGCCAATCTTATAAGTCTGTATATAAGATGGACAATTGAAAATAACCAAATGCTTAGAAAAATCTTTAATTGTATCCTTTGACTTTGAAAACTTAGGTTTAGATAAAAAATTCATCATCCCATGTCTAATAGTTGGCGAGATATAGGCAAAAATAAGAAATCACTCTTTTGACTGCTAACCTTTATCTCATATCATCACCTTATACTAACCAAATTATTTTGAAACCCCTTGAGTTGTAATCCTTGACCCTCAAAACATAGATTTAGAGACCAAAGTCATCATAATACGTCAAATAGTTGGGGATATATAGGCAAAAATAGAATATTGAAATTTTGACGGCAAATATTTCTGAACTGTTTAGCAAAATGATATCCCAGAGTTGAAATGCCTAAATTTGTAGACAACTGACCCCCATACAAGAAAATGGAATAAAATTCTCTGCGCATAAATTTCTTATGGGTCTATAGGGGGGGGGGCTCCTAGACTATAGCACAAGGAAGAGAAACACAATAAACTTTGTTGCATGTTGATTTATAGAGGCTGTTAATCATTTTCCCTAAAACAATTGTTTCCAGGCTCTTTATTTCATTGTATGTAGAGTACAATATAACTACTTTGAGAAGCATTTCTTCTGCACTTATAGTTTTTCAGGTACTTTAATTTCAGTTATCAATGTTACCTAAGAATACCCCAAATATTTGATAATTTAGGTGTCAAAAAAACCACCACTGAGGCAAAAACTAAATTAAAAGCAACCAAACACAGAATGACTAAATTGCTTATAATGTTTTGGCTTATTTATTCATTTCTTTCTAACTCTGTAGTTTCAAAATCATTTCTTTCTGTTTATAATATTAAGAATAATGAAGGAGTAAAAGGTACAGAATTTGTTGGTACATGATAAAAGAAAAAAGTGAGTTAGTTTTGAAAATAATGAGTAAAGACATGAATGTTGTTTAGAGACTATAAAAAGAAATATATAGTCAATTGCATGTATGATAAAGATATTGAAATTCAACAATAGGTTAAAAAATTATCAAGTTGTTTTATATTTTTATTTTGAGAGGATAACATTTTGTTTTAAGCTGTATGATCTGATGAAGAGCAGTAGCTTGAAATGTCAAAATAAAAATATATAAAAACTTAGTGATTCTTTAACCTGTTGTTTAGCGATTAGATAGTTTTGGGTCAGGAATTAAGGAGCAATTGATATTGGTAATAACAGATCTAAAGAGTTACTAATCAGATACAAAGAGCTATGTTAGAAATTTAATGAAAGAAATCATTAAGTAACTGTTTTTAAGAATTGTTTCAATTTAAGTGTGAAACAAAATGTAATTGCTTAAATGATGGTTTATATGTGACATTTCTGAATCAACAGGAAATTTGAAATAGATCTCACATGCTTAAACTAAGTAAAATGATCTTGGCTTCATTTAACTCTTTCAGCACAAGCTCGGTCCCTGGGACTGATCTCATAACCATTTTGTGCTTGTTCTAGTTTTTATGCAATAACTTTAAATTAGTAAGCATATGTTAACAAAATTTGGCAGATTATCAGTAACCATTACAATGCTTTCATACGCAAAATAACTAATTTTTTTATTAAAGTCTTAAAGTTTGTTAAGCAATGTTTTTCTCATGCCTTTTTTTGTTCTTTTTCCATGTTGCCTATCCAACATGCAAAGTAATTTTCATTTTAAGATTAAAAATACTTTTATGCCTCAGAAAAATTTCAAATTTCACATGCGAAATCTTTATACAGTCCAGATAGTTATCAAACGTTTCTTAAGAAAAAAACTTTATTTTTATCTGTTATTTTCACTAACGAATCTCTGTACGGGTTCGGACGATTTAACCAATCTTGTAACCACCATACAAAATTAGGAAATAAATATAAATTATGCCTTTTTCATTCTAGAATGATCACAAATTATAACATGAAAACATAAATGTTTAAACTAAATAGCTTAAATCTTATAACATTATACATTTATATATATATTTATTATTTTTATTATATTGACCTTTCACCGTGCCTGGCTAACACTAAAGAACATACACTGACGTAGCTCCCGTACACTATGTTACTCATAAATGTTTAGACGAAATAGCTTAAATCTCATAACATTATACATTTATATATATATATTTATTATTTTTATCATATTGACCTTTTAGCCATACCTGGCTAAGAATAAAGAAGTTACAATGATGCAGCTCACGTGCACTTATCTGTATCAAATAACATAAAACTGACCTTTGGTCTGTACAAAGTAACTTGTCTTGGCTGTGTTTTAGTTGACTAG